CCCCCCCCCCCCCCTACCAAAAAATTGCATGATGAGCTAGCTTACGTAGTGGTGGGAACTGACAGCACCATGGGAGGTTTCTTATTGGACACGCCTCCTCAGCTATCCGTTGTTTCTTTTGGTCTCGGAGTATATCGCACGATCATGCTTCTTTTTTGGACGTTTCTTATGCCGTGGCCGAGATTGATTGAGCTGGATTTCTTAGCTCTTTTTTCTTATTTTTGGCAAACATTTGAGCTTATATTGCTTAACATCAGAATTTTTCTTGATTGCGGGCCCGTTCTGTATGACACACTTTTCCTTGTTTTATACTTCAAGTAACGAGTGCGAGACCAGCTCGTCCCTCCTTCACATGTTCCAAGATATTTTCCACACGCACGGCGCGCTATATATTTCGGTCTGTGCGTCATAGATGTAAACTAAATATATTATTAGTTCTTAGCACTATTCCACCTCCCGAATAGTATTTTTGGCAAACACTTGAGCTTATTTTGCTGAACATCAGAATTTTTCTTGATTGCGGGCCCGTTCTGTATGACACACTTTTCCTTGTTTTATACTTCAAGTAACGAGTGCGAGACCAGCTCGTCCCTCCTTCACATGTTCCAAGATATTTTTCCACACGCACGGCGCGCTAAATATTTCGGTCTGTGCGTCATAAATGTATAAATATATTATTAGTTCTTAGCACCTGTATGCCAGATGTTAAAGTGACGGGAGGCAGGGGTCATGTCGCGGGACCGTAACGCAACCTACATTCTGATGAGCAATGTACACTGCGACCTTGAGGTAGAGATCGGATATGATCGTATCTTCCGCATGTACAGCGAGAAGCCGGAAATACTGTATGGAATCAGCGCGAGCTGCACATACATGAAGTGTACACGCGCAGGTTCTCCACCCATTGTACTGCCTAGTTTTCTCTCCTCGCTTGGGATCTTCGTCATCTGAAAACGACGGTAAAAAGTTCTGTTGGATCGGGCGTGGTCTCTGTACTCACATGATGTGTTACGGTTGTATCCAAGGTCATGCCTGTTGGCGCCCGCCCGTTTTTCATTGCCACGCACAATGCTACATTCAGCTGATTCTTCGCGCTGGCCTCCGTGTTAGAAAACTCATGACAATCAATCGAAAACCGCTCAGTACGTAGGCAACAACCACACCTACCATCCGTGGCGAGTGGTGAGCAGCCAAACTGATGCGTTTATCGAAAAAATTCAAAAATACCCCAGTCTGCGGGCCCCCACAAGAGGCGCCGCAGATGGAATCCTTCCGAATGAATCACGCGTCACTGACTGCTCTGCTTGTTTGGCACACGACGCGGCCGGCACAAAACGCCTTGCCAGCAAACGCGCGTATAGCTGAGACCTGCCACGGAGGGATAAAGCAGCTGCAAAAGGCAACCTTCTTCGAATAGGCTGGGTTCGAAAAGGAATTGGTCTTTTTTGTTTTGAACCAGCCCGACCGAGGCGGACCCCCCCCCGTGCGTATCTGCTGCTGGTTTGTTGGAGACTTTTGACTTGGCCAGAGAGACAGGCGTTGGTGGGCCGCTTGTGGTTGCCGGTGAGGGCAGCAGCAGCAGCCAGCGAGGACAAGGGCATACCTCAGTGAACTACCAAGTCGTGTGCTACACGGAGGTTGCACTTCCGCTTAGTCTTGTGGTTTCAGGGCGGCGGGGGAAAGGAAGAGACTCACCACCCGCCGCGGGCATCAGCGAGGAGCATTTTCGGGAAAAAAAGAGAAAACATCATGCCTAGGCGCACAAGCTCGAGGCTCCGGGGCGGGGCCGCGCCTGCTGCGAGTGCGGTGGCTGCTGGAGAATCTGATGGAGAGGGGTGCAGTGGTGGCGGCGGCGGCGGCAGCGTTGGCTTCCCGTTCCCGCCTTCGCCGGGAAAGCGCAAGGCGCGGAGCCCGGTCGAGGAGGACCACGGCCAACTGGCGGCGGGTCTTGCCAACCCGCACCCGCTCCGGTCCCCGTCGTTCAAGTCGCCCAAGAAGAGGGTGCAGGGAATCGGCGACAGGTTCAGCGCCGCGCCCTTCGGCAAGGAGAACGACCTTCACCTGAGCAGTGGCAGCGGCAGCGGCTTCAGCCTTGGCCGTGGGATGTTTTCGGCTCCGTTGTCCGCGGACGGCGGTGCAGCCGGTGCCTTCCGCCTCTCTGCCTTCAGCGCGTTTTCGCAACACGCGTCACCCAGGCTGAAGAACGAGCAGAGCAGGGGCGGGGGCGGCAGGAGGAGGGGCCGTGGGGAGGAAATGGCGGCAGACCCCCTGCAGTCTACGGCAGCGGCGGAGGCGGTGGCTGACGCCCCCTCGACGCCCCGCGTGCCCGCCGCGGGCCCGGCGGGGAAGGACTCTTCCATGCTGCCCTTTCTGCTAGCCCCGGCCAGCGTGACGAGCTCGCCGGACTTGCGCCGCAAGGCGTCCTCCCGCCGGGCACCGCGCTCCACCCGCAGCACCAACACCAACAGCACCAGCAGCAGCAGCGGCGGCGGCGGTATTGGCATGGGCATCGGAATCCGAAGGAGCCGGGAGGGTAGCAGCCCTTCCCCCCCGTTGATCCCCCCGCTTCCTGGCGTACCCTCGGGGGCAGGAGCGGCGGCGGCGGCCGACGGTGCTGCCTCTCAGGCCGCTGCTGTTGGCTCGTCGTCGCCGCGCGACCCCTCCACGTCAACGCCGCGTAAGGGACGGTACTCCTTTCGGTCGGGCGCCGGCTGCGCCACTGGCGGTCGGCGGTCGGCGACGATAGCTGCTGCTGCTGCTGCGGCGGCGACCTCGTCGTCGGCAGAGTCCATGTCCGCGGCCAGCCCCACCGAGGTTAACTCCGGCGGTGGCGGCCCGGCGGGGTCGTACAGGCGTGCCGTCGGGGGCGGCCGGCTCGGGGCTAGCGGCGGCGGGGGGGGGGACACCATGTCGGATCACTCGCCCAGGCGATCGCCGGTCCACTGCCTGACGGAATCGCTGCAGAAGTGGGACCCCAGCAGCCGGTACGCAAGCCCGGCGGATGACAACAACAACAACAACATCGAGGAGAGGGGCGCCGACGCCGGCGACGAGGACGAGGGTTCGCGCGCTGCCGCCGGGGGCGCTGCCGCTGCCGCAGGGGGAGGGGGAGCAGCAACGGGGGTCGCGGGAGCGACGACGAAGGAGGTCGGGGCCAGCTGGAACGGCCAGGAGCTGCGCCGCACGCTGGAGAAGGAGCGCATGGGGCGGGGGCGCCGGCGCCGGCACTCGATCACCTCCGCCCAGGACGTTTACCCGCAGGTGAGGTTCGGGGACCACTCCCCCATCTCGCCCGCGTCCAGCGCCGCGTCGATAGCTCTCGAGGGCTTCGACGCAACCCCCCCCGCGAGCGCCGGCCGCCCGTGGCGATCGTCTCCCAGGAGAGTGAAGGGCGGCGGCGGCGGCGCTGGCAGCGGAGGAGGTTCCGGTCGGCGAGCGAGCGACAGCGTCAGTAGCGGTAGGGGTAGCTGCAGGAGAGGTGACGGCGACGGCGCCGGCGCCGGCGACGAGGCGGTCGGGTCGGCGCACCACTTTGGGATCGTGCGGATGGAGGGGTCTTGGTCGGACGACGACACCGGCCCGTCGGGCACCGTGATGAAGCTCGCCTTTTCCCCCAGCAAGATTTCCGCCGACGCGCGGACGCCGACGGCGGGTGGGAAAGGGTTGACCTCGCCGCCGTTCTCGGTGGAGTCGCCCACCCCCCTCTCGAAGAGCGGAGACAGCAGCGCCTCGACGGAGGGCACCACGGGGGAGTCGCACCACCCGGCGTCACCGGAGCACCCCTCTCTGGGCTCCATGCGCGACCTGATGGACGAGGGCACGGACGACGAGGAGGAGGGCGGCGGCGGGGGGACTCGCGGCGGCGGTGGCGACGGCGACAGCCGCGCGGCGTTGGTGCGGCGCAGGCGTCGGCGGCCGCGGCCGGAGGTAGCGCTTCGAACGCTGGAGATGCCGGACGCGATGGACACGGAGGGCGACCCAACGGCGGCGGCGACGGCGGCGGCGGCGGCTGGTGCGGAAAGCAGCTCGGCTACCGCTGCCGCGGCCAGCAAAAGTACCCCGAATCCTCTCGTGTCCCCCACCGCGTTCGCCGGAAAAGACCTCGACGGCGGCGGCGGAGCCGGGTTCGGGAGCGGGTGTACGACGGCGCGCCGGCGGTGGGAAGGCCCCGCACCCCTCGAAGGTTCGTCGATGTGTACGCAGGGCACGCCGGGTACGGCGGCGGTGGCGGCGGTGGCGGCGGTGGTGGCAGAGTCTTCTTCCGTGACGACGGCGGACGATTCGTGGATTCGCGAGCGCGGCAGCAAGGGCAAGGGTAGAGGAGACTGGGGGGGGTGTTCCACATCGTCCGGGTTCGGAGCGACGGCAGAGGATGCTCAGCAGGACGTGAGCGGTGGGGAGGGGAACTCGAGCGGGATGATGACGACACTGGGCCTGAGCGGGCTGAGCGGCCTGGCGGATACCTCTGGCGCGTTCGAAGCCTCGACGTCGTTTGTCAAGTCCCGGCCTATCCCTGATCAGGTATGTGCGCTCTTTCCATTTTTTTTGTGATGGTTTTGGCAACATCAATTGTGACGCGTTTTCGCCGCTTTCTCCGTCTGTGCGTCATGTGGGCGACCGGCCCTGGCTTCAGTTTTTGTCGACTCCGTACGTAGCATGCCTGGCAGGCAGCACCTTGCTCAGCCTACGACAGACTTCGTGGGTTAAACGCTTGGTGGGTTGTACGCCTTTCAGCTCGAGGGACAAGCGTGTCTTGCGGACGATACATGTGTCGATCCTTTCCAATACGCGTCTATCTAGTCGCCAGTTTGGTTCAGGCCGCGACGGTACTGTGCCACAACGCGTGATGGTGCATTTGTCGATGCTCTTGCTCCTAACGGTGTCCTTGTTTCTCTATGTACTAGATGGGCGTATACCGAAGCTATGCAAGCACGGAAATATTTTTGAAGCGTCCGCTGCTGTCGTCGTCGTCCAGTCCCAAAGGAGCCCTTGGCATCAACGCCCTCCTCCAACCAACTCACCCTTGCTCCTCGTACGTTGTTTGTTCGCGCACAACTGCGTGGCGTTGCTCTGCCCTTCCCCCCCCCCCTCAGTCGGCCTTCACCTCGTCAAGGTTTACCAAGGTCGGCGCGCAGTCTCCCCTTGTGGGCAGCAGCGGCGGCGGCCCGGCTGCTCCCGTGTGCCTGACGCCGCGGAAGTCGATGATGCGGTGCCCCCCTACGCCGCAGCGCACGCCCACGTGGGAGAGCGAGGACAGCTTGCTGCTGGAGGGGGCCGGGAGCGGCGGCGGTCGCGCTCCTCGCGGTGGGGGCATCTCGGCGGGGGGGCTGTTAAGCAGCAGCCGGAGCTGCCTCCTCCAGAGCAAGCTCCTCGCGAGCAGCAGCAGCGATGACTGCATCGTCGACGCCGCGGCAGGCGGCAGCGGCACCGGCGTGGCGGCGATTGACGTTGTCTTTGCGAACGCCTCTTCCTCCTCCTCCTCCTCCCCCGGAGGCGCCGCCGCGCGAAGGAGCTCTCCTCGTTTGGAGGCGGCAGCCGCCGCGGCTGCTGACGGCGGCGGCCCCGCGGCAGCGGCGGCGAGCGGGAGCGGCCGTCGGCACGACGGCAGCAGCAGCAGCAGCAGCAGCAACAGCAGCTTCGGAGGAGCGAGCGCGAGAGGAGGGCGGGGCTGCGGCGGGCGAGAGCGGCTAAGCGCCGGCGGGACGAACACCGGTGGCCGCGGCGGCGGCAGCCGTGTCTCTAGCGATGCCGAACCGGCGCCGGCCGTTGTCGCCACAGCCAGCAGTGGAGGCGGCGGGGTGGTGGTGGGAGCCGGCGCCTCGACAGCCGCCGCCACGGACAGCACCCTGGGCTTCAAGCACGACTTCGTGCAGATGGGGCCGATTGGGGAGGGAGGCTTCTCCGTGGTGTGGAAGGTGCGCGCTAAGGGCACCGGGCGGCTCTACGCTATTAAACGGAGCAAGAGAGAGTTCCGGGGCAAGCGCGACCGGGACCGATGCCTGCTCGAGGCGAAGGCGCTGCAGCGCCTCGGGCAGCACCCCGGAGTTATCCGGTTCGAGCGGGCGTGGCAGGAGGAGGGGCACTTCTGTCTGCAGACGGAGCTTTGCGAGCTCGGAACCCTTAAGGACTTTCTCGAGAGGGTGAGTACTGTTGGTGCTTGAGTTTGTCGTTTCTTTTTTATTGGGGTAAGGCGTTGCGGTGGCGTGGTCGTTGTTGCTTTTGTTGTTTTCTCCGCACGTAACAAGAGCTCGGCAATGTCTCTAGGTTGATCAGCAACCTGGCGCGGTCGATGCCGTTCAAACGAACAC